GACCCCTAAAAACAGGGCAGGTTGCTGGATTTTGCTGTTTAGACCCCCCAGCTTTTTTGGGCAAAAATAAGTGTAGAAGGTGCTTTTGTTGCCTCTTCCTCTACTGGTGTGGTAGGGCTAGTTTCAAGAGACAGTAATGGCTATTCTTTGTTGGTCAAGTATGGTTCTGTTTTGGTTTTCTCCTATAATCATGGTTTTAAAAAATGACCTAGAAATGGAATCGTTCTGGCCATTGGTTTTTGGGTCGATGGTTCGATCGTCTGGTTTGAATGGATGGTCCATTCTGACAATAAAACTTAAAAAAATAAAAGAAAATGATCAAAAACCATTGAACAGATCAACGGTTCGACTGCCCAGGTCAATGGATCGTGACCAATTCAATGGTTTTTTGCTAAGGACCAGATTTGGGGTAAAACGGAACCAGTCGCCTGGATGGCTCCCAGGCCGAATGGTCCGACCGTCTGAATCAACCACAGTTTCAAAACCATACCTATAATGGTGGAAGCTTTAGTTGTTTTTGAAGGTCTTACCTTAGCCAACGATTTGGGTCTTTCCCATGTTATCATTTAGAGTGACTGTCTTATAGTGGTGGAGTAGATTTTGAAGCAAGGGGTTGGCTTTGAATTGGACTTGTCCTTTTTAGTTTTTAGTTTTTTGATTGCTTGAAATAGCTCAATAGGTGGTGAATGCTTCTTTTTCTAAAGTAACTCGTTCAGTAAACAAGGCTGCTTTTGAAGCAAGGAGAAAAGGCCTTTCTAGAATTCATCAAATGTTTGCTAATTTTTTCTGGGGCACCTTTGAGTTTGGGAACAGAAATCATTGGGTTAGTTGGAATAAAATTTGCAAGCAACTGTTGAAGGGGGATTGGGAATTAGATCGTTGTTTGACTTTCAAAAGCTTTTAAGCTAAAAATGTGGTTTAGGTTCTTACAAAAGGATTATTTTTTGGGCTAAATTTATGATCTCAAGGTATGTGAAATCCACCCCTTTCCCTCTTCTAGAGAAGACAAGAAATTGGTTAAAATCTTGGGCTGATATGCTAGATCTCAAAGACACGAATCATTTCAACTGTGTTTGGTTGGATGGAAAAAGGTCTAATTTCTTTTTGGTAGGATATTGGACAGGTTTTGGCCCATTAAATTAGATGAGGAAAGTAACTTTGGAATTAAAGATTTCAATTTGAATCATATCTTGAACGATGACGGGAATTGGAATTTTAGGAATGTTGGAGACATCTCCCAGAATATTATTCAAATAGTGACTTCAGCAAAGCTGTATCAAAACAATGAAGTGTTAGAAAAATACCCATATGGGTAGGACCCGGATTGTGGCCCGTCATAGTGACCACGATTCAGGTTGTTTGGTCCTAATCCAACCATCCAAATAGAGTTCATTATGTGAGTGACAGGATTTAAATACATTTCTAAAACAGTTCCAGAATTTGGGGATTTGGCAATTTAAATCCCTCCTCTTTAGGTAAGCTTTTTGATAGGGGGAGATTGCCTAAAAGAATTATATGAGAGAGGACCCCTCTCCCCTAGGCGTGTGAAGCATTCTCTCTATTACTTAATCTCTTCCTAACTTCCAACTCATGAGAGTGCATCCTATCAGCATTGTTTCTCATAGAAAGGATACATGAAAGAATCATTGTGACTCAAGGAGATAGACTAAGTCCTTGCAGTCACTAAGAACCCATCTTGGCAGAAGAAGATATTGCATTCAAGTGCAAACACATGTATCGGTTCAGCCAAGGAAAGTGCATGGACGTGGTTGTGCTCCATCCCAAAGGCTGATACGAGAAGGAAATTGACTTCTGCAGGTCAAGAACAATGGTTATGGTGACTGGAGGTATAATGTTTGTTTATTTTTGTTGTTTTGATTGGCCAAAGCAATTACTAATCTTCATGATCTGCTCATGTCAGGTCTGTTTTATTATTTTAGTTTATTACTCCATGCTTTTACCTATTACCTAGATTGTTCAAAGGCTAGTGACTACATGGCCGACTTTAATGAAGAGGATAGACTAATTTGGAAATGCAACTCCAATGAAAAATTTTCCATCTCATCGGTCTGGAATTTGATTAGAGTTCAAGACCCACATGTGTATAGGCATTATTATGTTTGGATGTCTGGAATTCCTACTAAAGTTTCTATTTTCATGTGGAAGCTTTTTAATGGTGTGATTTCTGTTGACAGTGTGATAAGAAATCGAGGTGTTCAACTTGCTTCGAAGTGCTCTTGTTGTGGCCAACCGTGTGCTGAAACTGAGTCACGTCTTCATTAATGGTGTCATTGCAAACAAACTTGGGACCTATTTCAGCAACATTTTTGATGTTCCTACCATCATGGCTCAATATATAATGGATAGAACTTAGTTGTGGTGGAACCTCACTAGAAAAAAACTGCAACCACTTAAGAGAGTTCTCCCCTCTTTACTACTTTGGGTGTTATGGAAAGAAAGATGCAAAAGAAGGTTTGAAGGTAAAGGACTTCCATCTAGTATGCTCATTAAACAATGGATAATGGAGATCAACATGTCACAAGGTAAGTTTGACTCTTGTGAGATCAATCCATACATTTTATATTACTTGAAAATTCCTATTTGTCTTATTAGAAAAGAAAAACTTCTACGGATCTATTGGCACTATCCATCTGAATTTCCCTTTAAATTGAAAGTTGATGGGTCTTGTTGTGGGAACCTAGGTGACTATGCTCGAGGTGGGATTATTAGAGATAACAATGGTGTAATGGTTTGTGCTTTTTATAACTTTTATGGTGATGGCACATCAATGCAAGTATAGTGTTGGGTGCTTCTGGATGGCTTAAATCTTTGCTATAGAAAGGGTTTTGATGAGGAATAATTTGGCTCATCCAATGATGCAATGACATGTGGAGTGATGCAATGACTTGATGACACTCCAGCTTCCTCAAATACCTCAGCAGTCATAGTCACCTCAGGCACTTTGGGTCACTCAACCAAGACTGGGGCCCGAGCAGCTCACCGCACTCACTGACCTATCCCGGTGCCATGTAGCCTCCTTCTAGAAGCGAGCCAGCTGTCTCTGATCTTCTTGGGATCATGTCACATACCAACAGATCTTATCTTGATCCTGCCTGAATCGGATGAACTTAATAAGACTTATCAGCTTACTTAGAGTCCATCTTCGGGTGCAGAACATACTCCGGGTTAGATGGGCCAGTGATCTTGGACACACATCGTGAGACCCATGGCAGCTCGCCTATATAAAGGCTTCACCTCCAACCTCACAAGGTATGCGCAATTTAGCTCTCTCACTTGATTACTTACAAGCTATCAACTCTCTCAAACCTCCTTCGCTAACTGAAGCATCAAAGTGCCCGCACTGGGTAAAGTACCCTATAACATTTTAGTCTTTTTGCCTTGCAGTTTGATTTGGCCACATAGCAGTCCGTCTGAGATGCTTTCCAGTAGAGATCGATTAGATCATGCACGAACAATTGGCCATTTGTGGGAAAACACAACAAAAAGCCGTAGTCTCACCTTGCTCTCTTATTTCTACAGATCCAATGGCATCTTCAAGCAACAATCAACACACCACCACCAACAACAACAACCAAATCATAGGGGGGCAAGACCAGCCCGCAGCACACCCTGAAGTCCCTTATGTAAACATTAGGTAGTTCACAATGCCCTTAACTCTGCCTAGCGTGTCACCAATGCCAAACCAAGCCTTCCCTCTACACTAGGTGAATGCGCCTCTCCCTCCAGTCGAGCCGTCAATGGTTCCCACTGGAATCGATGTGTGTCAGTTCCACGATTTAGTGCAGTATGTCTGTGATATGAACCTTCAGATGCGGACATGGGAAGAATGTCTATCGCCTTCATGCAACAACAACAGCAATAGCAACAACAAAATCAGCAGCCAGGCAATCAACAACCCAGCCACATAAACCAGGACCTGGTCCCAGGTGCACCTCATCGCATTGACGACCCGAACCAAGTCCCAGTCGAATAACATAGCAGAGTGATGACACCCATTGGCACAAAAGGCAACAACATGACCGAGATGTTGAGGAGAAGAAATTGTCGATGTGCACATCACCACACTGGGAGAAGTTCACTCCCAGTAACAATGAGGAGGCAGAGAAGAAGGGGAAGGTAAGCCAGGTAGTCGCACAACCAGCAGCACCGCAACTGACTACACCTCTCCACTAGCACTAAAGATCCTTACGACCTCATAACCTAAGGACTTCAAAGCCCCAAGCATGGAGTCATACAATGGCATAATGGATCCTATAGATCACATCGACAGCTTCTAGAACCTCATGCATCTTCATGGGGCAAATGATGCGAGCCTCTACATGTCCTTCCCAACAACTTTCCGAGGTACAACTCGGATGTGATACTCGGGACTAGCTGTAGGCTTGATAAAGGGCTAGAATCAATTCGTAGACCTGATCACCACGCACTTCTCCACCAGCAAGAGGTGTACCAAATCAGCGACCTACCGACTGAATGTCATCAAGTGGCCAAACGAGATGCTCCACGACTACATCAAGTGGTTCAACTTGGAGGGCCTTTAAATTCCCAACCTCGACCCAGTAGTTCATCTCACCGTAACAATCAACAGCGTCCGCCACCCTGACTTGCGTTGGGAAGTAGAGTTGAACCCTCCATCCACCATGGAGGAGTTCCTCTACCAGGTCAACAAGTTTACAAATGTGAAGGAGGCGTTGGGATCCTGATTAGAGCTGACTGGGAAGAGGAAGTGAGCTGAAGAAGAAGTGGGGATCAACAAGCAACGGCATAAAAGCAACTCGTTAAAGAGAAGCAGGTCACCTTGCAGTAGGCGAAGCAAGTCGCCAAGAAGAAGGAGCAAGTCTCCACACCAAAGTTCCAGGTCAGGGCGACAATCCAAAACTCTTCCAGTCCAAAACCGGAGTTACACCGCCTTGAATACAAAAGGGGGCAAGGTTCTAATGTAGATAAAGACGACCAAGTACATAAGATGGCCACCCAGAATGAGAGGTGACCTCACCAATCGCAACCCAAACAAATACTGTCACTTCCACTATGACATAGGCCATGATACAAAGAGTTGCAGAAATTTAAAGGATGAGATCAAGGAACTGATCCATTGCGGCTATCTGAAGCAATTCATCAAGCGCGACGACCGAAGCCGAATCGCAGACCAGCCAAGAGAAGTGTCAGAGTTTAGCAACCAAGATCAGGATCATCCACCTCAGGATCCACTACCACCAGAGAGGCCTATTCATGGAGTGATCAACATGATCACCAGAGGATTGATTGTGGTAGGATGTACCAGCACGGCGGAGAGAAACTCAATTCGAGAGCTTGAGCACGAGGATGAGAACCCGTCGAAGCGCCATTGCATGGAGGAAGCCATATACTTCACCAAGGATGACACTCGGGGGATCCAATATCCGCACAATGACACCCTCATTGTCAAGATGGTGATCAACGAGTTCGAGGTAAAGCAGATTTTGGTCGACTCCAGGAGCTCAGCTGATATCATTTTCATGGGGTCTTTCGAAAAGATGCGCTAGCAGATGTACCACTCGTCAATTTCAACAGAGACGTGGTGAGGCCCTTAGGCCAAATCAAGGTGTCAGTTGTAGTAGGGTCAGAGCCCAACTCTTTCCGATTTGAGCACACCTTCTTGGTGGTCGCGACCTCGTCCCCCTATATTGCGATTCTAGGTTGGCCCATCCTACATGCACTTCGCACAGTGGTTTTGACCTATTACCTTTCAATGAAGTTTCTAACGAGGTAGAGTAGGAGTGGTACGGGGTGACTAGTTGGAGTCACATAGTGCTATGTCATGGCATTAAAGAGTAAAGGAAAACTAGCGAACGGCGTTGACCTGGAGCCACCCCCCGAGAACATTGATGAGTGAGCTCGACCGACCAATGGAGGATAGTGTTCTGGTCTCGGTCTCTGATACCGAGCCCAAGCAGACGGTCCAGATCGGAGTTCACCTGGTAGAACCACTTCGGTTTCAACTAGTAAGTTTTCTTATTTTAAAATTTAGTTGTTTTTGCATGGTTGAAAACAAAAATGCCCAACATAGACCCATCAATAATTACTCATAAACTTAATGTGGACACTTTAGTCAAACTAGTCAAGCAAAGGAAAAGGAACCTCGCCCCAGAGAGGTGGAGGATAGTAGATGAGGAGATCAAGAAGCTCCTTGCAACAAACTTTGTTAGAGAGGTTCAATATCTAAGTTGTGTAGCCAACCCAGTGCTTGTGAAAAAAGCAAACGGAAAGTTGCACATGTGCATTGACTATACTGACTTCAACAGAGCCTGCTAAAGGACAGTTTCTTGCTCCCTAGAATAGACTGCCTAGTAGATGCGGCCTCGGGGCACAAATTGCTGAGCTTCATGGACGCCTATTCTGACTACAACCAGATCTGGATGGACCTAGAAGACCAGGAAAAAACTACTAAAAAATGTTAGAGCAACTTCCCAATGCCTTGTAAATAAAGTATTTTCTCCATTGATTGGAAATAAAGTTGAATGTTATGTTGATGACATGGTCATGAAGACCTAGTTTGCAAATTCTTTAGTCGATGATTTAAATTCTGTTTTCCAAATACTAAGAAAATTTAACATGAAGCTCAACCCGAACAAGTGTGTCTTCGGGGTCACGTCAGGCAAATTCCTTGGCTATATAGTACACTGACGTGGCATCGAAGCCAAACCGGACAAAATCCAGGCAATTCTAGACAATAGACCACCTAGGTTAATTAAAGAAGTACAAAAATTAACAGGCTAGAGCTACCCTGAACTGATTTATGTCTAAGTCGGCTGGGTGGTGTCTCCCATTTTTCAAAGTAATAAAAAAGAATGAGGGTTTTGAATGGACCGAGGTGTGCCAACTCACGTTTGATGAGCTCAAAGGGTACCTCAGTTCACCTCCACTATTGACCCAACTTGAAGCTAGAGACGAGCTAAAACTCTACCTCTCCACGAACGGTGAGGTAGTGAGCTCGGTATTAGGTCGAGAGGTAGACAAGGTGAAACAATCCTATCTACTACATAAGCAAAGTTCTGCATGCCACTAAGACCAGGTACCCCAACATAGAGAAGCTAGCCTTTGACTTGGTCTTGGCAACTCGAAAGCAACGCCCCTACTTCTAAGACCATACCGTCATATTCCTAATTGATCAACCTCTAAGGCACATTCTTGAGAAGCTCGAGGTCTTAGGAAGGTTGATGAAGTGGGCAATCGAGTTAACCAAGTACGAAATCTGGTTCAAGCCATGCCCAACAATCAAAGCGCAGGTCCTAGCAGACTTTGTCGCCAAGGTCACGTTCAGCATGCCAACCCCTGGGGTGGATGAGCCAGTTAACACGTCAGAGGGATCAACTAGTGCAGCACCCGTCCCAACCTAGGATGAAGAGCCCTGTATCCTCCACGTTGACACCTCTTTTAACTAGCATTGAAGTAAAGCTTGGCTGATACTTTGTAGGCCCAATGAAGTGAAGTTGGTGTATGCCCTCCGATTTGCATTCGAAGCATTGAACAACGAAGCGGAGTAAGAGGCGTTGATAGGTGGACTGACTTTAGCGAAGCAGGCCGTGGTATGCAATGACTCTCAGCTAGTTGTAAACCAGGTGAACGGGCAGTATAAGGCCCGTGAGCCTGCCATGTTGAGAGAGCTCCCGCCCGACTTCCACCCTTGGTATATCCAACAAATACCAAGGACCGAGAACGCAGAGGCCAATGCACTTTCAAAACTAGCCAGTGCAACTGATGTAACAAGGAGAATGGTCTATGTTGAAGTGTTGCCACGACCTAGCATTGAGAGGGTGGCAGAAGGGGTCACTCCTATTTTGGCAGTAGAATCAAGCTAGATGGATCCATTTGTCGATTAACTGAGCCATAGGACCCTAATAGTAGACCGCAATGTAGCTCAAAGGGTAGAGCACCAGTCAGCTCTCTACGTTGGCGGCAGCAGGAAGGAGGCGGTAAAGAGAAATTGGCACAGTCTCACTTATGCTGATTTCTCTTTTCTATGTTGTATTTGTATCTTGGATGAGTGTGTGTAGAGGCTGCCGCCCCCTCCTCCTTTTATAATCCTAAAGGGATCAGCTCCTAATCCCATTAGGAGATATTAATCCCCTTAAGTGATAAGGTAGAGTCCTTATCTAATCTGCAGATCATGATCAACCCTCCTAGTCTGATTAGGAGTTTCTAGTTTTGAATCATATTCAAATCTGGACTCTTACTGAGTGGATAGGGACTTTCCCTTATCCCTTAAGGTTGGTCCATATCTCAAATCCGCCCCATTCAAGCTAATTTAATTAGCCCAGCTCGTATTGGGCTTTTGGCCCATTAAATGTATGTGCTCACTGAAGCCTTCCAAATTGCTGCCTAGTTGGGCATTCTCTGTATGGCGTGGGACCCAAATGTTGATCTACACATCAGCCACAAAGGTTCAGCCTAGCCGAATTCACTAGAAAGCCCAGTGAACCCCTTGAACCCATCATATGGACTCTATGGGCCCAACACTTACATTAAGTGGTTCTTGGGCCAAGCCACCTTGTAACACCCAAGGACTGTGGGCAGATGCAAGATTAGCCCATCAGGTTTAACCCTCAATGGCCTTACACTTAACGTCTCAGCACATAATGATCAAACACTGCCCGACAAGGGAGGACCTCTCCCCCGACTGTAAGGTACAGCTGCACTCTCCTCTTACATGGACCCCGGGGATTAAAATCTTTTGCAAACAGTTTTGTATATATATATATCGTATAATTATATTTTGCAAAACAAAATTTCAACGATTGAAATCAACTGTTGGCAGTTTTGGTTTTTATCAAAGAGAGTGCATTTCCCCGATCATTACCTTTGTCCGACAAAGGGGTTGATCCTGTCACTATGATTACCCACTCAGTTGGGTTCATGAACCATCTCAACATACCCAGGTTTTGATCCCCTCTAAGGGTCTCACTGATTAGCATATCAAAGATGGCCCAATCCGCCACCTAGTGCGGTAGCATAATCGAGTCTAGGGGTCAGGTGTAACATTCTAATTTTGCCCATTAATCGCCAAGGTCCAAGGCAATACTGGAATTCTGGTCCGGTTCAAGGTCTCAAGCTGATCCCACACTGCATGTACCTTGGGTCTCATTCTGGTGGTAGAGACAGGCCACCCCAACCGACTTGGCGGCACATCAGTGTCAGCCTTATCAGGATAGGTCTCCCCAGACCGACCCACTGGCTGTGAATGTTCTAAACCAACACAAGTCTCATAAGTGTCCGGTTTTAAGGGTATTACACAGAAACACATTACATGACATGAATCAAATATGCACTTTATTCATTTACAATAAATGTCATAAGTACATCAAACTGATTGGAGCTAAGGGCATACAAAATTGTCTAACAAGGTGAAATCAGTTTAGCGCATTTTTTTTACGTCTGCAGAGCCTATAAATCGCGCGACATCCGCGCGTGAACAGTACATGACCCGGGCTACCCTTGATTGAGCCGAGCTGCGAACTGGTCCGACCGACGAGTTGCCTGACTGGACGACCTGAACTACGAGCCAAATCAACCCGTCATACCGTGAACTCCCCACACTGGGTAAAGACCCCTAGCACGGGGAGTGGGGGGAAATTGATTGAGGGTGATTTGGCCCGACCTCATAATAGGGGAAAATGTGGACATGACTCGACATAAGGGACAACTTGGCATGACAACCTGGCCACAACTCGGCATAATGAGCTCACTGGGATCCAGCCTGATAGTTTGGCACAGGTGGCAGCTCGTGGCAAAGTGATACTCCGATTACTCCGAGCTCTCTCTCAAGGGGGGAGCGCCCCGAGGTCCCTCCAAGTGAGGAGTCCCGAGCTCCTCCCAGGTAAGGAGCCCCCGAGCTCCTCCTTAGTAAGGAGCCCCCAAGCTCCTCCTCAGTAAGGAGCCCCCGAGCTCCTCGTCAAGAAGGGAACACCCCGATCTAAGATCCCTGGGTAAGGGACATCCCGAACTGAAGACACTTCGGGTAAGCCCATCAATAGACTCCTACCCAAACCTAAGTAACCGCCTCAAAGACTTTCCTCGGGTAGAAGCACCTCGGCATATTAGTAGTAGCTCGGTACCAGGTAGCTCGGTGTATCACCTGACAACCGTACCTGCTAGATCTGGAGACTGCTCCCATGTCTCTGTTCAAGCGGCGTCGTGCCTACCAGACCCTGACAAGCGTCCCCTGTCTGGCAGGGCTGTATCCTGCAACGGTTACCTGTGCCCACCTGCCCAACCCTGGCAAATAACGGTTGTAGCAGAGAATCAGGGGCGGTTACACTTGATTTGATAGGACATCAGCATAAAGAGGCATCGACCCCTCAAGAGCAAAGGTAATTTGCTCTTGTCAACCTTAAGTACCCCACCAGCTTGTTGTCAACCTTGAGTACCTGACCAGCACGTGGCCTTCGCCTAGTGGGGAATAGACAACCTTGGTCCTTTCCCACCAACAACCAAGCAGAGAAGGTTCTTGGTCGTGGTGGTTGACTACTTCACGAAGTGGGTGGAG